TGTCAGCGTCTGGTGCTGTGCATTGAGGGTGAAAATAGCACAGAAGGTCACACACAGCTTCAATTAGAAGTTTGAAGCTCATGCATAGTTCATGCACAGTTAGAAGATCTGAGAGAAGCCAGTCAGTCGAGTTTGTGGCAAAACCTTGTACAGTGCTTCCATATGGTTGTCTTTTACTTCATATGATAATTCACACTCAGAAAGTAGAACTACAGTGACGTTCATTACAAGATGATTAGTTAAAACATTTCAAAGTGCACCTGCATTGTTTTGCATTTTGTGACTTTCAGTCAATAAAAGACTATTCTCCAGTCATATATTTTGTCACTGAAGGTGTTAAAAATTGTCTTGTTCTTGTGAACCCAATATCTTGTATCGTCTCATCTTGTTAGCTAAGTGTATCGTCACACCCCTAGTTATTAATGAAATGCTTTATTTTCCATAAAGTGATTTATTGTTTGGAGGATTCCGGACTTCCTTCTGGTTATTACTCTCAGTTCTGAAATTAGTTAAGGTCATTTTTATTTCTGCTAACCAATGAAAAGCTGACATTCATCCACATGTCCAAAACAAGACTATCAGATGTACAGTAACTGAAAAATGAACAGCGCTTCTGCTTATTGCAGACAGTCAGGAGCCACAGGTCACATGATGCAAGCCAAGCATTTATGCTAAACTGCAGTGTTGACTGGCTAATGACAAAGGAGGATGAGACTATTTTGTGAGATACTGTATATAGGAAACGAATTTTGCTTTGCTCCTGGGCTTCTGAGAATGCATATGGACTGAAATGGCAACAGATCCATCTCCTCACTTAAGGCGTTCTGTCATCACTCCACTCCCAGCCACCATAGGTTCCTACTTGCAGCACTATACTTTTTCTCCACCCATTCTAAGAGAAATCTCATTACAGTTTGCTCTATTGTTGCTCAGTTGTCTTATCACCAGATTGTTAAGATAGTGTGTAACAATGTGGTGAATGCTACCCTGAAGTTGGATTATGGGCTGTTAGCATAATGTAATGCTGATTGGATTTGGCTTTGAGTGCACTGCTTACATACCCTAAAATCCCTCTTTGGCCTTGCTAATGCCTCCAAGAGCACCCACATTATAAAACTTATTTCCTAGGCTATTTGTAATGAGCCGTTGTCACCACTGTTCAAGTCTTTTAGAGAAGTATTGTGCACTGATGCTCACGTTAGCCGATGACGATGGCTGGTGTGAGGTACTGTACTTAGAGTTTTTGAGTTCAGTCTGTTTAGAGAAGAAGTAAAAGAAGAAGTGAAAATACAGGACGTCAGCACTGTTTATGGCTACTTTGATTGCTAATAATGATAAATCACCTCAAGCTTAGCCACTGGCCTCTGTTCAGCTATGGTGCACTCTGCATAATTATACGGGTCCTTTCTGGACAGTAAAACTTCATTTAGGAGATTCAGGTTGGCATCCTGAATTAATTACTTTTTACAGACAGTTTTAATTAAAATTGTGAAACAATAGAGATAACACTTGGATGCACACATAGAGTAGACAGTCCATTACTGGGATGTTGTAGGTCAGGGTAGCTATAGTCATTAAATATTTAAGTTGACAATGTTCAGCAAAATATGGGAATGACTATAATTAATACAATAAAATGTTACCTACATCTCAAGCTCAACTTCTCAGGCACAGCCAAGTGGTGCTGGTTCAGTGGTTCTATGATTCATTGAAAACATGTGGAAAACAGATGTTTGTGATTTGGTGAACCAGTTTATCTTGTTGTGGAATACCCTGAAGGTTAGGAAAGCAAAAGCAGATACACCCTGGACGTGTGTAGGATACCAGATTCTTTGGTTCTCCATCATAGTTGTGGCTCCAGGGTCCTGCAGAAAGACAGGTGAAATGCTGTGGGCAGTTTAAAGCGCATCACACTATAAGTTATTTGTTCCATCTCGATATTGGCACCGTCCACCAAAACGTGCTTTCTCAAAAGGCTGCTGTACTAACTGCAACTTAGCCATTATCAATATTGGCTGCAACCACATTGGTCTTAATTTTAAAGGCATTCAATCAGTTTGCTATAATATATTTATTGTTTCCACTTAAATATGTACATCTATTAAAGCTGTTATATACTTTTGGCTGTTTACATTGTAATTAGCAGTGGTCTATTCAGGCAAACAGATTTATTGATACCAATTCAATATAACATTTATAAGTACTGATATTGATTTCACATTAAGGATGAAATCAAACTTTAAGCTTAGATTTGATTATGTGCACTTTGTATGAACCAAGTCCATTTCTGCCCCCCCTCATTCCCCAATGGTTTCTATTCACATTCCCACCATACCTAACATGTACAGTAAATATACACAATCCATAAACACGTCTTCCCGTTAAAAGCTATTTTCGTTGTAAGCTTCTTCCGGCTCTTTGTAACCAGGAACTCCCAGAGACGAAGCGGACCACTTGGATTATATAAAAAATAACCGTGCTGGTTTATTCAAAGAATCACAGGTAAAATTAACATTACACGTCCAGATCTCTTCCACCTCCAATCCTGCACGCAGGCAGAATCAAGTATGAAAGACCCTGAACCATAATGCCTATACAATATTATCACTTGGTTGGGCTAGCCCATACTACCCAGGAACGTCAAACCGTGACGTCACCTGATATGCCAGCTTTGCAGCTGACCATAACAATAGTCAAAACATGAAGAAAATCAGTGTGTGTGGCTGTTGATTAGTGGTGTGTATCTAAGAACATCTTGACATGACATTTAGTGACATGTCATGACATTACACATAAGAAAATATTATGATTACAATTACGGTTACACATATCATAATAATAACAATATCCTCCTGCCTGCAAACTTTTTCTATCTAGTTGTCCTTGGCCATATGCACCCTGCCAAAACTCATGAGAATGACTAAGCATTTAACAGCCTGAGCTAGACAGCCTGGCTCCACTAAACATTTCTAATACAACAAATATCTAACCAATGTCGATCTGACTAAAAAATTACCTAACACCGTGGAATGGAAAATTAAGGGGGTTGGGAGTGATATTAGTAGATGGAGGACAAGGACTGGAATGGTTCTTCTATACTTCACTGACCAGCAAACTGCTTAGTGAGGCTGTTGGCATTTCCAGGGTCAAGAGGCCAAAATGAGTGTTCTTTATATTCTATGGTGACTCATAAAAAGGACACTGCGCACAGTCTTATGAAGTGTGTGTGATTTGTAGCAAGACCTCTTGGGTGACAGTTATGGGCTGTTGACTGTGTCACAGCAAAACAAGAGAGACACAGCTTTATGGATGTGGACACTGAGAAAGAGACATGAACACGGAGGGTTAGAATAACAAGAAACCAGCCTTGATCTCCAGGACCCTTCTAGTCCAGAGCTGAGCAGATGAAGAAACCCCCTAATGATTGCTAAATGTTTTCTCTATTTAACCCTACAAATACCAGTGATGTTTGGCAGTGGTAAGATGTATTTCCTTTGACACCAAGGATGTGATCAAATTAGTGGCTCTTTTTTCATCAGTGATATTGTGGGTCACAGATGATATAAAAAAATTGAACAAAAGACTCTATAAGATCAACAAAACAGGAGAAAGAGATGGTGATGTAACCTGTTTTAGCTCTCTCTTTCTTGTGGTTCTCTGTCTGTCTCTGTCTCTGTCCATTCCCCTCCACTGTTAGAGATGACATTGCCTCAACTCAGGTCTTTGATTAGTGCCGCTTCTAAATAAGGCACATCCTGCTGACCTTCCAAACCTTGCAATGTCCTTTTAACCCTTTCTTCCCTCCTCCTTGTTCTTTCTCATCACACCTGTTTTACTCTACATCTTTTCTCTCTGTGAAAGATTGCTGTCTGCAGACCCAATACATCACAAAAGCCAGTGGAGCGAAATGTCATGCAGCACTGGTGTACTAAATTTGTTGTTTCTGTTATGTTATCACACTTGCTTATGTGTCAGCACCAGCTGTTTTGGGGGTGACTCAGACATGCATAGCAGATGCTTTGGCATATATTGCTTATAGGCACCCTACTGCAAATATGCTGATCTAGTAATTAGGCACAAGATAGAGTAGTTCTAACTGATCCCATGAGAGTCCTCTCCATTATCAACAAGAGTGGCTTTAAGCCTTCATCCTGATGCCTAAATCCAGATTGGAGTCATTATCAGCCATGGTGGTTGCAACCAAAACTGCAAAGCGACAGAACTCCCATAATTCTCTAGTCAGATCCTTCTATCTCTAATCAGCAATAGGTGGGAGATGGAGCTGAAAGAGATGCTTTACCCTTTGCATTCTGTCTCCACTGTTATTCAGGAAATAGGAAGTTTGCTGAAGGATATTTTGTCAGTAACTTCAGGCATATTAAAGTGAGCGTGTGCACATGCATACTCAATCTGATCTAATACAATAGAGCACACACACAGAGCCCAGGTCAAATTCAAGGCATTTATCCCCAACCTCATCCATGACCGCACAGCCTGGGCTTGATGAATTCAGCCTCCTGAGACACAGATCCCCAGGTTAAACAGCAGGATCACTGCAGAGACCAGAGTGAGCTGGCTTGATAGATGACTGTAGCTCCATATCCTGACACATCTGTTAAACATGAACCAGCAGATCCGCTTTTAAACAACGTAGTCCTACCCACACATTTAACATCCATGCGCTGAGACCAGGGAAAAGCTTTCAGAATGACTAATAACAAGTTTAGTCCTATTCAGACAGGGAATCTGTAACACAGCTGGGTTCATCTGTCTGTTGAATAATTGCTTTCTGGCTTTTCTACAAATAGGGCTTCATTCAAGTTTGTGCCCAGATACGACAGGGTTGTTATGGACAGAGCCTTAATCCTGCACTCACCTGCATTTGACAAATAAGTATACATAACAAAAAAAAGTTTCATGTTAATGTTGGCTCTAAGAAATTATTGACTTGATTATATCCTGCTGACACTGTTCAACCATTTGCACTTGATTTCCTTTAGCCTCAAGTCAGACGTGTGAACCAAACATGCTTAATGACAACCCATGGGTCTACGTGAGGGAGATGCTAACTGGCTGTTGGACCAGCTTCGTGACAGAGGACAAGGCAGAGGTCCACATCCTTAACCTGAAATTTGGTACCGGGGTAAGCATGTCAAGGTTACACAAATGAGATGCTGAGAAACTAGATCTAATTAAATAAATGTGAACAAGTAAAAAAAAAAAAAAAA